TAGACCAAAAACAAGCTAAACTGTGAAGTCTGAATAGGATGGACCAGACCATCTCTTCAGTTATGCAGAATAAGAGTACATTCAGGATGGACTGTGACATTAGGATAGAACTGGCCCAGGATCTGGCTCCCCATCATGAAGATTTCAAACCAATAAATAATAGATTTAGACTGGAAAGGAGCTTTCTGTCAATATGCTTGCATCTTACTTTTCTTTGTCCCAGTTTCTTGTAATTTTCAGTTTGATAAATTGTAATTTAATACCTAGAATCACTCATTCTATGTTTGTGAGACATATTCTGATCCCATCAGTAACATACACTATGCCTTAATGTGTCAAACATCACGGAGGATGTAATTCAATGTATGAAAAAGTTGCCAGCTTGGGGAATATGAGGCAATATTATTTTTATATTGTCTCCATTGACACTGACATATACGTTTACTTCTATGCTGTGTGTGTGACCCTCCCTTCCTGTTAGGCATGAAAGATCAAGTCCACATCTGAAGGTTAAATTAAACTGATTTATTGCTAATCATGCCTATGTACAAGTATCTTCTCAACTAATGTTTAATACTTATTTAGAGTTAGATAAGGGTCAATGGAATTCACAGGGAAGTTAGACTGAGTTCGCTTGTTGCTAAGTAGGGATTCTAGGCTGATCTCTCTTTTAATTCTGGCCCCCAAGTTCTGCCACTCCTCCTACACCTCCTTTTCAGATACAGTAGATTTATAAAATAAATGAAAAGACTTGCTGGAAACCTGGTTATTTTATACAGAATACTGTCATTACCATTAACAAAGTCTATGAATCAAAACTTTGGTGTGAAGTTTTGTCCTGTGTATTTTCTCATATAAAAGATTAAGGCTCTTCCTCTAGCATATGGTCTCTCTCCCTTATGTTTAAAACCTTGTTTTCTCTCTTTATTTTTCTCACTTTTCAACAAACATCCCCATATGTTTCTCAATTATCCTTCCATCACCCCCTCCCTCTTAGCCAGTAGTGTTAAATCAACATTCATATTGTTTGTCCCTTGGAATCTAGAATCATGAAACAGGTTTGGGACTCAGAGAACAGGAAGAGATCACTTTACTGAGGATATTTTATGTAGAAACATTCTAGAATGCAAATGGCCTTGAAATGGAGCTATATGATCCTTAGGCTTTCTTATTTCAGGAAGAAGACATGTTTTTACAGGAAGACAGTCAAGTTCATATTTGGAGCTCCTCATTATTATTATTATTATTATTATTAAGGCAGAGGAGATACTGTAGCTCTTAAATAATTCTCAAGGTCAAAGAATAATGCCCCTAAACTCCCAAAATCTCTAACTTGGTAAAACATTTGAGATTAAAAAATGTTATGGTTCTGATAGATGAGCCCAGTAAAAACAGAACTCTAAGATAGAAAGTTTCTTTAAAGAACATATTTATTGGCTACAAAGTATCAGCATGATCAAAAGTGAAACCAAGACTGAAGTTCCCTCCCAAAGGTTAGAGTGTTGCAAAGCTGAACTTCCCACCCCAGCATTATTATTATTATCACATTCCCCAATCAATTACTTTGGCCGGCTTTCTAACAGAAGGCTCAGCCTGCCAAAATCCAGGCAGCAATGACCTTGGTTCCCATGGGACAATTTATTGTTTTGTCTAACCTTAAAACACACACATTCCCCCCTCTCATACTGTAGCAACCGAAAACGAAGTAGAAATGGCTTCAGCCAAATTCATTGCAGCATTGACAGTTGGATCCCCTAAAGAAAGGAGAAATCCTGTAAATGAAGAAGAGTCAGAGTTAGGAATCTGGGAAGGACATTTAAATGTTTAGATAACTCCTCAATAACTTGTGATTAAGTTTTAGTTGGCTTTAGAGTATTGCCAAGACAGTATGTGATATAAGACTCCTTTGGAGCTTTTTTTCCTGCTGCTTTCCTGCCTAACCCCATTAGATCTACTCTTATTCTGAAGGATGTCTAAGGAAAGTCAGTTCATGGAGGCTGTTCATGTGGCATTATAATGTTAAAAAGAGACTATGCAGTAAGAGGACCGAGAATGAGCCATGATTTTTTTGGTTATGAATAGAGGTTCTTAAATTGTATTATCAAGGGAGGTTAGTAGTCCATATGAAATATTTGCCCTGCCCTTTTAAGACTAATGTTGCTGTTCTAACATCAGAGAATTGGATACTGTTCCATCAATACTGCTGTTGGATTTTGGACAGGAATTTATTTATTTATTTATGAGACTTATATACCGCTTTAAGTGCAAGCACTCTCTAAGCGGTGTACACCAGTAAGCAATGTATATATATATGTTTACATTGCCCCCAACAATCTGGATCCTCATTTTACCTACCCCGGAAGGATGGAAGGCTGAGTCAACCTTGAGCCGGTGAGATCTGAACCACTGACCTGCTGAACACAGTCAGCTAAAGTGGCCTGCAGTACTGCACTCTAACTGCTGCGCCACCTCGGCTCATCGAATGTTACTGCTTTTCCTACAATGTTGGTTTTATTTGGTCCAGCATCCAGAACCAATGAAATATGGTGTAACAACAACAACAACAACATCATATCTAATGCTTTTGTTTCCTTCCAGTGAATGTGAAATGGCTTTTTGATTGGGTGGTGGGGAAGTGCTAATGCTCTTCTCCCTTCTTTGCTAGAGCTGCCTATATCTTGTTCCTCATTTATAATCTCCACTGGGCACAAGGCTTTCAGTATTTACCACATGTAGATTGTGGCAATAGTTGTGCCAGCAGGTGGCATCTCAATGCTCAGACTGGTTAATATTGCATTGGCCACATTTCAGTAATAATAATCTGGCTGATATCTCTCCCTCCAATGAAAGTGATCGCACCCCTGTTTTCCAATCAGCAAAGTTCCAGCAAATTGCTAGAACTGAAACATCAGCCCAGCTGGCTCTTATATGTTATTCATTTGCTTCTAGGGCTCCAAGATATTTATGCATTTAAAAGAAGGAAGGAACAGTAGCCTTGGAACGATAGAGGTTGATGGGAAACGCTAGAATCTCAGTTCTTGGCTGTAGAGTCGACTTGCAATGTGAAATGATTGAATGACAATGAAATATTTATTTTGGGCTGCAGCTCAGTAATTGGATTGGTGCCAAAGTTAATGTGAATCACCACAGACTTTGTTTATAAAAAGCTTAAAGGTGTATCGGTTTCATGCTAAGATTGATTCCAAGTGACTTCATGGACATGGGGACATAGTTCTCTTAGTTTGTTACCAGCTATTTTGGGGATATCCAGAAATATCTTATCCTTTGTTGGGATTTTGGTGTTTGCTAAGCTTGATTTTTTTTCTTGCAAACATTTGGTTGCCTGTTACGTTGGTTCTCCCTTATTCATATGTTGATTGCTGGGTGCGCAATCAAGAACACTCTTGAGATGAAACAATACAGCCAATCAAGCCAAATCAGAAACAGGTTCACAAACTATAAGGCAGGTGGGAAAAAACACCACCCATAAACTACCAGCAAGCCCAGCTCTTATGTTAAAGCACTGATGTTGTTACCTAATTTGGTAAGAAAACATTTGCAAGAAGAAAACCAAGCTCAGCTAACACAAAATCCCCAACATTTCCATGTTAAGCTGCATACATTCCCCATTAATTGGATTCCATTTCTCAAACTAATGTGATGGTGATGTTATCTATTCAGTCATGTCCAATTCTTGATGCTTCTGTGGGCCAGATCTCCCCACATCTTCCAATCTTGCACTACTTTTTTGAGTCATTCCATGCTCCACTTGGTGTCAGCTTTGATGGTGTCCAGCCATTGTGTTCTTTGATGGCCTGGTTTCCTTCACTGGTAATTCATTCAAAAATAACTGCTTTCTCCAGTGAATGTCCCTGCATGGGATGGTCAAAATAAGTGAGATGCAGTTTCGTGATTTATCTTCTAGTGACATGGCTGGTGTTATCTGCTCTAGCACTTGGTTATTAGTAACCTTTGCTGTTAAGGAATGCACAAGAGCCTTCTTCATTGCCACAGCTCAAATGAACAGGGTGCATATTTTCCGAGCCTGCCTTATCCATGTTCCTGGAAAATTCCATTGGGTGGAAATCCACTTAGGGTTAGGGCTAGGTCTCCATGAATTCAGACAGCAAAATGGACCTCATCAATGGATTTGGAGCCCATGGGTATGGTTAGGAGGGTGCATATTTTCTGAGCCTGTCTTATCCAAATTCCCTGGGGGAGAAATCCACTTAGAGTTTGGTTTAGGTCGCCATGAATTCGTAGACCAAAATTGACCTCGCCAATGGATTCGGAGTCCATGGGTATAGTTAGGACAGTGTTTATTTTCCAAGCCTGCCTTATCCACATTCCCTGGCAAAATACATGGGAAAATTCCTCTGTGGGGTAAGAAACAATAGTTGGAAACTAATGAAGAAGAGAAGCAACCTCTAGAATTAAGGAAAAATTTCCTAACGGTGAGAATAACTTGCCTTCAGTGGAATAGCTTGCCTTCAGAAGTTGTGGGTGCTCCATCACGGGAGGCTTTTAAGAAGAGACTGGACAGCCATTTGTCTGAAATGGTATAGCGTCTCCTGCTTGAGCAGGGGGTTGGACTAGAGGACCTCCAAGGTCCCTTCCAACTCTGTTTTTCTGTTAATAGCCAAACCTACATTTGATCGGACAATGCCAAACCACCAGTAAAAGATGGCAAGTATTAGGGAGAGATAAGATCTAAAGACACTCTATCAAGAATAAAATATTTCCCCAGTTACCTGGACATTTGTACAACATGCCCAGTGCAAATCAGCTAATGATAATGCAAAGGCTCTGGGTTTAATTGTCTCATGGGACCAAGCATTACAGATGAAGCCTTCCAAGTTGGTAGGAATACCAAAATAGAACTTTTCCTTTGGAGCTCTTTGCACTTGCTGGGAGGGAGAAATTAGAGAGCTAAAGGTTACTGAAATTATGGAAGAAAATGATCTTTCTACTTTTCCCTCCCTCCCCTCTTCTCTCCTTAGGGCAGCAGTTGAAGCTCTGGCAGCTTTGTTGAAATCAAGTAAGCTTTTCTACCTTTCTCATTTTTTTTCTCTCCCTATGCACTGTTTCCTATTCTGTCTGTATACACAGAAATGCTCTCATTTGTATAAAGTCTCCCCATTTCTTCCCTCCTTCATTCTGATTAGGATCACTCCTCTGAAACTGCAGCAGAACACTGAGACTGCAAAAATGCAGTGCAGAGGACATGGGATACTTTGAACATGTCACACTATATTTGCCTCACTTTAGGGTACAGTACACGAGTTATAAAAAGAAGAAGAAGAAGAAAGTTCTTCTTGCCACGTTCTAGATGCCGCCTCTTAAACAGTGTACTTATTCTCAGGTCTACCAAACTGTTTTCTCCTGGATTTGGAGAACACTTTAGGGCAGGAGAAATCCTTGAGATTTGGACAGCTCAATGTGGGTGCTGGTCACAAAATGGTGCGTGAGACTAGTCATTTGTGACAGAAGTCAAACTAAGGTTAATTCTTGGTCTAGCTCTTTCCCCTCTGCCAAGCGGTTCTCTACTTACAAATGTCTTGTTTTCTTATTCCAACTCAAGCACCGAGATTTATCGCCCTTGTTTTGTTTTACAAGAATGCCTATAGGACATATGAGGGCTTGGGGGTTAAGTAAGGATGATGTTGTTAGAATAATTAATCTAGGGCAGAGAATTGTGTAAGCAGCAGCAATACATTGTCTATTTGAACAGATTTCTGGTTTGAATCATACCCTAATTGTAAATTCTAGGAAATATTGTTTTTCTTCGGCATCTTTCAATAAGGCTTCTAACTGAATTCCTGGAGAATCTTTTCCCCAATAAACCTTGACACTGGGGATGTGTGGAGTTCTTGTCCACAAATCATTGGAGGTTCAAGGCTGGAAATATTGGAATGGTTCTCCTCCAAGAACCATTCTAATATCATTAGTTTTACAAAAATGGATTTGCTAAGAATGATCCAGCCTCTGACCCTGGAGAATGGAATGGAATATTTTATTAGCCAAGTATGATTGGACACACAAGGAATTTGTCTCCGATGCATAAGTTCTCAGTGTTGATGTATATCAACACTGATGTTGATGTATACCAGTGTTTGATGTAGCAAACCCACTAAAAGGTGGTGGTCTTTTGCAACACTGCTGCCACTACTATCCCAGTGGGTTCAGTGTGACTTCAAGGAGAGGTGAGATCACATTTTGGAGACCAGGATATTGGTTCCTGGTGGCAGAGAAGGAAAGCTTTGGAGGGTCACTGATGATTGCTAAGTTATGGGGACATTCAGCTGCAGCCTTATTTATGCAGGGTTTAAAGGATCTGCTAAATGAAAGAACGGGCCCTCGCACAATCCTGCACAAAGAGTGAATGTTCCTGAAGCCAGTGTTATATCATCCTGTGTCTCTTTCTCCCATCCCAAGACAACTTAGGCATTTATCACCAGAATTTAATAAAACTTTGTCTCCAGTCGAAGAACACTTTGTCTTCATCAATCTTCCTGATGGTAAATCACAAGCCTATGTTGTCCTTCTCCACTCTCACCCACCAGTGCACCCTCCTTTTCACTGCTCCATCCTCCTTTGCACACGCTTTGATGAGTCAAAGGAATCTAGGAGAGAAGCAACCTAGAACTAAGGAGAAATTTCCTGACAGTGAGAACAATTAATCAGTGAAACAATTTGGCTCCAGAAGTTGTGGGTGCTCCATCACTGGAGGCTTTTAAGAAGAGACTGGACAGCCACTTGTCTGAAATGGTATAGGGTTTCCTGCCTGAGCAGGGGGTTGGACTAGATGACCTCCAAAGTCCCTTCCAACTCTGTTATTCTGCTATGAGCATTAGGATTTGAGTGCTTTTTGTGAAAGAAACCCAGAGCTCTAGAAGTTGATCTATTTAAAATCTACTGATTGAAGTTTTCAATTCACAAATAACATGACAGCATCAATCTTCAACCTGTATTGAAAGGTCAGATTATTTCGATGAACAAATGCCTCGATTCAGGTTTTAAATCTTAATCTGCCAACTCTGGTGCTACCTTCACCTTTTAGAATGGAAACGTTGGATATTAAGAAAGAGGAAAGATATGGGAGCATATTTTTTTTTTTTTAAAAAAAAAACACTTCTCTTTTATTCACCAGCTCCTGGGATCTGACATTATTGAAGTGGCATTAAAGCAAAACTATGAGAATGGAGGGTGGATTTTTTTTTTTTTTTGATGAACAGTGTTACTGAGAGAGGGGAAAAAATTCCTTTTCCAGTTTTTTCACAGGAGATATTCCTTGAGAAAATTGTCTTCCCTTACTTTATACTTCTCCTCTTTCATATTGGCCCCAATTGCCCTCTCTTTTATGGTTAACCTAGATAATGTGCAAGCTGTCATCCTGCTTCAGTTCCTAATTTAATACAATATATTTTAAGTATATGGTGCCCCGGTCTAATTTAGGATTAAGTAGTTGGCATAATGCTTTCCTTTTAGATTTCTTTTAAATAAATAAACCATCTTACCGCCAGTGTGTAGCTTTAAGGATTAAAAGAATAACAATGCATTCCTCCATTAGCATCAGTGAAGTTTTGTAGCCATTTCCCCTGTATTTGAAAATTTATTTATTTTTTAAAATTAGGAAGAGTGTTCAGTGCTACCATATCATAACACAGGGAATCTCCATGGAGACTCTGCCGATATAATGCTAGTTTTACCTCTGCTTGGCACATGATGGGAACTAAAATTATTGGGTGGAGGTAGCATTGTGTGTTTAACACTTTGATCAGGCATACATTAGTGAAATTATTGCACGTGAAATAGAAAATTACAACATTTTGCTTTTGTTCCTTTTTTGGTGGCCGTGGGTGGGTTATGTGTATACTTCAGTTGATTATTAAACAGCAAAGTTTCTGATCAAGAAAACTAGTCAATGTAGATATAGAATACATAGACTCATAGGCTTGGAAGGGACCTCAAAGGCAACTGTCTGCTGAAGGCAGGAGACCTTATACCATCCTGGTCTGCATCCTGGCTGCAGCTGCCAAAAAGGCCAACACAGTGCTAGACTGCATTAACAGAGGGATAGCATCAAGATCACTTGAAGTGTTAATACCATTTTACAATGCCTTGGTAAGGCCACACTTGGAATACTGCATCCAGTTTTGGTCACCACGATGTAAAAAAGATGCTGAGACTCTAGAAAGAGTACAGAGAAGAGCAACAAAGATGATCAGGGGACTGGAGGCGAAAGCGTATAAGGAAAGGCTGCTGGAATTGGCTATGTCTAGTTTAATGAAGAGAAGGACGAAGGGGGACAGGATAGCAGTGTTCCAATATCTCAGGGGCTGCCCCAAAGAAGAGGGAGTCAAGCTATTCTCCAAAGCACCTGAAGGCAGGACAAGAAGCGATGGATGGACACTAATCAAGGAGAGAAGCAACCTAGAACAAAGGAGAAACAGTTCCTGACAGTTAGAACAATTAATCAGTGGAACAACCTGCCTCCAGAAGCGGTGAATGCGCCAACACTGGAAGTTTTTAAGAAGAGACTGGACAGCCATTTGTCCAAAATGGTGTAGGGTTTCCTGCCTGAGCAGGGGGTTGGACTTGATGACCTCCAAGGTCCCTTCTAACTTTATTATTATTATTATTATTATTATTATTATTATTATTATTATTATTATTATTATTATTATTATCATCATCATCATCATCATCATCATCATCATCATCATTATTAAATGGTTGCCAGTCTCTTCTTGAAAACCTCCAGTGATGGAGTATATTAGTTTGAGTTCTGAGTTTTGAAAAAAAAAGACACTGAAAACCCCAAATAGGCAAAGAACAAATAGTATGTGCCAGGGTGTCTTTGTTGGGGTATCAGTACAAATGGGATAATGTGAACTTGGTGGAGAAATTCAGAATTCACAGAGCATAACTTGGTGATAAAGCACATGCATTAATGTGAATTGCATTGATTCCTGGGCAGCAAAATTGGAAAAAAGCCTTTTTTAGATTGTTACTAGTAGTCAGTAAAAAATAGTTGGGTTTGTATATTGTACAGCCTCATAATGTAACTTGTTCCGTTTCCATTTAACAGACAGTTAAATTGTAGTTTAATCAATAAAGCATAGCAGTGGGTAAACCAGGTCACTGTCTGGTTCAAATTCATGAAGATCTGTTTCTTTTTAAGGCATGTTGTTCTCCTTTCATGGTTATTTTGAGGACTCAGATTGTTGAAGGCAATATGCTGACATTGTAAACTGCCCGGAGGGTGCTGTGAAGCATTATGAAGTAATATATAAGTGCTATTGCTATTATAAAAGAAAAATCAAATCAGGTGCAATTTTGGACATTTCCCCAAATCCTCACAAAGAGGTTTAGCCTATTTTTTTATTTTTTAAAATATAAGTTGGTGGTGAAAGAGTGGTATGGAGGCCTAGTGGTGAAGACGTTTGCCTTCCATCCGGAAAGTTGAGAGATCAATCCTAGGTAGTGGCAGATGTTTCTCTCCTGGGGCACAAAGAAAAAAAAATCTGCTCTGAACTCTGCATGGTGTCAGAAAGGACATCTGGCCAGTAAATGCTCAGCTCCATCCAGTCGCCCTGATTCTACCCCAAATTAAGGGATTACACAGTTGTAAAAAGTAATTTATAAGTTGGTGGAGAATGATGGAATTTCTAAAGCCTAAGTTGTTCTGATCTGTGTTAGTTGTGTACATGTGGTTTTAAAAGTCTATTCCACTGGATGCAGTGATGGGCATGCCTTTAGATGACTTTACAGAGATGTAGGATAAATGTGTGGCTATTAATGGCTAGTATCACTGATGTGTTCAAATTACCTTTGGAGTAAAAGTCAGAATCTAATAGATCTCAATGAACCAGAATAAAAGAGAGCAATTGCCATTGTTTTCTGTTTGTGAGCTTTCTGAATTCAGCTAGCCTGCCATGAACTAACAAAATACTGAACTAGAGATACTTGTGTTCTGAACCACCACTGTTTCTCATATATTCACATCAAGTAGCTTGTCTCTGACATTAATTGCGGTATTGCCCATTCTGGTCTATGACCCCAATAAAGATTTGACTTGACTTGATTTGATTTGCAATATTGCAAGTTGCGGCTCTGAAGTCCTGAATCACAAGGCCATGTACTTGTGTACTTTCCATGGTGCTGAAGTTTTCATTTCACAAAAATGCTTCAAAAGCTACCTTAGTTAGTGTATATCAGGGGTCTTCAAACATGGCCCTTTTGTGACTTGTGGATTTCAACTCCCAAAATTCACAACTTCTGGAGGCAGGTTGTTCCACTGATAAATTGTTCTAACTGTCAAGAAATTTCTCCTTAGTTCTAGGTTGTTTCTCTCCTTGATTAGTTTCCATCCATTGCTTCTTGTCCTGCTTTGGCTAGCTAGGACATCACTAGGATATTTCTATTCCTGTAACCATGGCATGGAGCATAGCCTTGTGGAGTTTGTGCACTTTTAAAAAGTTATATTTTCCTTATTTTATATTATAATTTGCAATGGAAGCTGTAGTTTACACCAGGCAATTGGGTTATATAATCTTCTGTAAATTAGTGTAAAAGTTTGAGTTGATACCAATAAAATTCTTCAGGAGATAGTTAAAATATTATTGCTTGGTTTTTCTCCTGCACACTCCAAATCTTTTTTTTCTTACAATCTGTATTCTTTTTGTTCCACATGGGGGTGCTCTTACCATAACTATTCCAGTTTTCCAAAACCTGTAATCCAGTATTTATTTTTAGTGAATAATTTGTTTATCAGCTAGTTATTTTAATCTGATGCTGGCCATATTTATCACTGTCAACTAGGAAGCATTCTCCCAGCATTACAAACTTATGCAACTTAGAAAGTAATTAACATGTAGAAGCTGATCTCAGAGGCTTTGGTTGGTGGTGTCAGGTAAAAAATGTGGACTGGGGAAGCCAGTTGCATTGACTTTTTGAGGAAAAAATGTACAAATCTGGACATGCCAATCTATTGAATGGTTTCAAAAAAGGCTGTCATGCCAAAAACCTTTTGCTTGTAGGCTGTTGATTATAGAATGATATATTTCACATAGAATAGTTACAAAAATATTAGTAAACCCCATATCATATAAAAGTTGTGTTATATAATACTGATGATTATTCCTAGGAGAAAGTCTTGAAAGAGGTTTAGGGTGAGGAAAGTTCATTGGGATAAAAAAGGTTTTTCAACATGCCACCAAGCCAGAATGGGATCTGTTTGGTTTAGTTTTAGCATATTGTACGATCCCTGCCTTTTAGCAGTTCTAAACCATGACTAATATGAACATTAACTAGATTACAATGATTTGCAATGATGACATTGTTCTTGATGATGATGATGATTGATGATGACAATGATGAAGATTGATGATGTTGATGTTGATGATGATGATGGCAATGACAATTTGGTGTGAACCAGCCCTTCTTCACTATCATCCTGGATTAATCTATTGTATCAGCTTTGATTATTTGTAATATTCAAATAGTTTTCTTAGAAAGCATTATATTTTAGGGGTGTGCTATTATTCATATTAGATTATTAGAATGTGAACAACAGTAGTGCAGTTCTTCAAAGGTGTAGTTCAGGTCCCATTTTATCCTTTCTCAGCCAGTTTTTTTCTATTCTAATGTACACACATATTGAGGAGTTAAATTAGGATTGATAAGAGGATCAGTTCAAAACTTTAACAGTAACATTTTTTGTGGACATTGTTTTGCTTTATTGTTTTTCTTCTGGAGAGAACAACCGAATGAGATTCAGCACATCAAAATGACAACTGTATGAAAGATGAAAATGTCACTTTGAAGGCATCACACCAAATAACAATGGACAATATTTGATCAAAAGTATATTTTCTCCCATTTTAACCCATTTCATATTTTGCTTTTATTACAAATGTTGCCTTCTGTATAAATCCTAGCTAAATGGACATTTTACAAAGGATGTAAGAAGAGTCTTATTGCATTAATCGAAAGATGGATCCAAGCTAGCATCCTGTTTCCATAGTGGTCAGTCAAATGTCTTTAAGAAATTCACATTCTGGGCCTTGGCTTCTGTTTCTCAGTGTAGGTATTAACAGACTGATCACTTCTGAGATAGGTTATATTACTAAGCCATTGTTTGGTTTACCCATGCTTTATTGAATAAGCAACAAAGGTGTGAGAGGTTGGTTCTAGAATTCTTTTACAAGAAGGGGAAGAGGAATTATTCTACTTTCTTTCCTTTTTCTTTTAAAAGGATACTTCTGTAGCTCTGGGGAGATGGTTATGAAGATCACTAATCTTGCAGATAATTATATCATAAGCATTGGTGACTATCTTTGAAGTAAACCGAGATTTGATAAATGGAATTTGCACACAACATGTTCCTTCAATGACACAAGGGTTTTATTAGTAACTGTGAATCGATCTGATATTGTCATTTGGAGACTAGAAAAGTAGAAGACACATATAACAGATGCCAGGCAGACAGAATGGCTGTTCCTGATTGCTATTCAAATGCGTTTGCTCCCTAGTCTCTTTGATTACTCGTTTTCTGACAGCTTTTGATGAGTTTGACCTTTAACAATAATAACAACAACAAAAGGATACTTATAAGGTCAGGATGTTTCTGTAATGCAGCTGTCTTTGTTTCAGGCCTAGCAGAGATCTCTGGTATGTTGTGAGTTAAGGCATTTGGTGAACTTACAAACTGCAGAATTTCAACAGGCAATTTTATGAAGATAGGCTTAGCCAAATCCACCTTGCTTTTGTCAAGAGGACTCTGTGCTCTGCACAAACATGTTCTGGTGCTTTCAGTACTGCTAAATGTAGGACATTTTTGACATTTTCCCCCCTCTGTCATTACCATTTCATAACCAAAACAGCAGTCCTATAGTCTTGCTAACTTTTCATATGAACCTTACTTATTTATTTACAAGATTTGCATGCCCATCCATCTTAAAACACAACTCTGGGCCGCTCACAATAACAATCAAAGTATTTGCAAAGCAAACAAGGGTCTTCTGTGTCTTTTTGTTCTGCTCACAAGCTGTCACTTCCATTGACCAGGATCTTCTGGGCTCTTGGAAAATTAACAGAATATTGCAAGTCTGAAAGGACAATTCTCTACCCATCTCCTTTACTCTCAAGACATCAGGGTGTGTGTGTCTCTTCTGAGTCTCTTGCCCCACCTACTATCTAGTTTCGGGTTATGCTGTCTCTTATTTGACCATTCCACAGACTGTATCTCTGGGCTCAGTTTTCCTAGGTCAAGGGTAGGCAACCTTGGCTCTTTTATGACTCGTGGACTTCAACTCCTAGAATTCCTGAGCCAGCCATGCTGAGGGGAAAGGGAGAGGTTTCCAAGCTGAGCCAGGGTGGCTCAGGAATTCTAGGAGTTGAAGTCCATGAGTCATAAAAGAGCCAAGGTTGCCTACCCCTGCCCTAGGTCATCCCCACATAGCCCAATTACACACACTTAGTACCACAAGCTCACACACACTGATTCTGGTCCATCAAATGCAACAGAATCTATTCTGTAAATCATTTCATAGATCCTAGCTTTCCCTCCGAATTCAGCCAGTGCTGGAAGAGCAAACACAACTTCCCAAAGGAAAGGAAAGGATGCAAGAGGCAAGTTACTCTCTCCTGTTTTAAAAGTTCACCTGAGAAGGGAAAGCCAATCTCCTGAATGGTTCCTTTACATTTGATTTTTTCTCAAGCTTCTTTTGTCTCTGGATGGACAAATCAGCTAACGTTCCTTTCATCTTTTCAGGGAACCAACGTTTCCCCACTCATGTCTAATAATTGAACTGTAGACATTTCCTGTAGCTGCTCAATCAGTTGGCTCTTTGCTTTCAGAGTCCAATAGTCGCCGAGCTGTGCACAGAGGCTACGTTTGTCAGTTGCTCTGGTTATATCAAGATTGGCATCATCGAGACACTTCAAATAACTACATTCTAATCCGGAGGGGTCTTTTGCTTTGTCTCAAGCATATCACCAATGTCCACTCCGGGAGAGAAAATTTCCTTCTTGTTCATGGCATGGAGATCCTTTTCAGAACAACTCAGGTAAGCAAACGTTCAGTGACCATGTTTGTGTAACATCTTGAGTTTAGCTCATCCTTAGAGATAGAATAGAATAGAGAATAGAGCTGGAAGGAAATTTGGAGGTCTTCTAGTCCAGCCCCCCGCTCAAGCAGGAGAACCTATACCAGGGGTAGTCAACCTTGGCTCTTTTATGACTCATGGACTTCAACTCCCAGAATTCCTGAGCCAGGTTGACTACCCCTGACCTATACCATCCCAGACAGGTGAATGTCTAGTCTCTTCTTAAAAATCTCCAGTGAGGGAGTGCCCACGATTTCTGGAGGCAACTTCTGTTCCACTGGTTGATTGTCCTCATTGTCAGGAAGTTTCTCCTTAATTCCAGGTTGCTTCTCTCTTTGATCAGTTTCCAACCATTGTTTCTCGTCCTGCCCTCTGGTGCTTTGGAGAACAAAGTTGAGGTCCAGCCTGCCAATTGTATCAAATGATGGTTAATCACCCTGCCAGTAGACCCACTTCTTCTACTTCTGAGGTTATATGTCCCTGTTGCCTTTGCAATAGCTTGTCTCTTGCTTGCCCTGAGCTTCTTTTCACCTGAACATATTGGGACACCTTTTTCTTCCTATTGGGTTGTAGCCACACACTATGGGGAAAAGCTAGACTGTCCCCTTTCCCTTTAATGAGCCCAATTAATCCTCTTCTCTATTTGTTCATATATGGTGAAAACAGTGGCAAGTAGAGAATCTTGCTTGAATTGTTGGGGTTAATGGGATCTTTGGTGCCCTTTGAGCTCCACAGTTCAACTCTGAGCGACCAATATTGTCTGCTATTGGTTAATGGTTGCTTCAAGAGGTTGTCCCTGACAGATCAATAACAGGTAGTTCAGTTTGAAAGATGGACCATATTTAGGTGAACTAACTGAAATTAAACTGTGACTTACAGGCTCTGGTTAAAGTTCTCTGCCTTAATGATAAACTGATCTATAATATATATTCAGTCAACATTCCAAGACGCATGATGTGGCTTTAATGAGTTAGGACTTTGTAGTTGCCAAGGCATTCCATATGATTTATCTTCTTTAGACTTGGTCCATAATGGCCACTTAAAAATTGTCCCAAAGATGAATAACATCACTTAAAAACAGTCATGCCCCATGGACAATGTAGTGTAATTATTATGTAATGATTTTGCATATTTATTTTCATTTAAGTAGAAGTACCAAATTAGAAGGACTGTGATCAAAAAAAACCTCATAACCAAGGATGAAATATTGACGTTTATATTTATGATCTCTTGCTCTTACAGTTAGACTTGGATTAGGTAGTCTTTAGGAGTGAACCTCAAGCTGAAATTTCAAAAGTCCTTGAAAGAGAGAGATCTGTCTTCCATAAAGTATAAACACTCTAATTTATTCCCAACCTCTCTTGTCTTTTGGAAACTGTGGATGTAAATTAACATAATATATAACTTGAATGCAAAAATTAGTTTGTAGTCAGCAATGTCTTCACAGGCTGTGTCTTATTTTTCTTATTAACTAATCCAGTTTTAAGGTACGAGTTAAAAGAATACTTCCCAAATCGTGTAACATTTCCTATTAGAATTATAGATAAATAATTCATTCAGTCTTTTCTATCCCAGTTCTGCATCTGTAAGCCTTTTTTTTGAAGTGTGAATTTCACATTTATTTCGGTATTGGATTTTTTTTTAATCAAATGTCCATTTAATATGCAATGTCCTCAAAACTACATATTCTCCTGTGCAGCTTTCCTTGACACTGTATTCACCAAATTCAGACAAGTGAGAAGTGTAACTGTTCTGAAACATATAATTGTCCAAAAGATACGAATGAGATTTGTTCGCTCAAAAATGCAAAGCAGACAAAATTCTCTCCATCTCCCTTTAGAAATAGAGGAAGCTTTGCAAATATGCATTTGACCCCAGAGCTTTTTTTTTTTTTTTTTTTTGTTAATCTTAAAATATTTAATCCTGTTACGGATTTTGCATCTCGGACTACTTTGGATTGAGGGATAAAACAATAGGCACAATCTTAGTTGGTCACACTAGTAAACTGCATCTTTATTATATTGGTTCCATTTCACAAACAAGCTGAGTTAATTCCAAACTCTAAGGCTGGAAAAGAAAATCTGCATGAAGGGGGCCCTGAAATGTTAGTTACATGTGATCTTAAGATAAGCACCTCCTCAGCACTTCCAACAAATTAAAAGATTTTCATCCCAAGAGCCAAATGTCCTCTATCATTAGAACACACTCTCTTTTTTTTTTTTAACCGTTTTAAAAGTCTAGCTTTTTGTAGTGTTGGAATTTGTGTTGCTAGCTCACACACTGTGGTCTCTGGAGAAAAGAAAAGAGAACAGCTCAGCCATCATATATCTTTCTTGCTAAGCTGTGTGATGACCATCTACATAAGAATGTGATTGGTTTTTCATTTTGTCAACCCCCTCTGGAATGCAGGCACTCTGCAAAGTGAACACATTATGCTTCGCAGCCTATAACAACTATTTATCAACAAATAAACCAGTAGCACGGTTTTGTTGCTCGTGCTCCTGAAAACCACTCCTGCGGCCTTCAGATCCCTTTTAACAATGGCTGCCAAGTTGTAACAGTTAATTTGATAGAAAAGAGTCATTATTAAACACATGGGAAATAATCACATTTACTATAATTAATGTAACAGAATAAGTCCCTTGCATCAAGCTGGATTCTTTGTCGGTGGAGCTACCTGAGCCGGAGGGAAAATGATAATCTGAATGTTCATTTTTGCTCTTGTTTAGGACAGTCTGTTTAGCAAGACTCTGGACCCTATCGTCAATACAGTGACTCAGGTCCTCAGGAAAACCTATCCAAAGATGCCCTTTCCTTCAGCTGCAATTAGCAGTTCCTATTCTTTTCCCATTCCTGGGAAAACAGAACTTTCACTCCCCAGACCTGAAGGTAAGTTGTTCCAAAGTCCCAAGAAGAAAAAGAAAATATTCAGGCTGTGAGGGTTGATCTGCCTTGTAGTACGAAATATGCTCCCATGAAGCATGAAGAGATAGCAGCACACTTTAATGTTGATGTTTGCAGAAGAATACATCACCACAAGAGGCAACATATCTTCACAAGAAGATTATGCCAAACAAGGCCAATAAATCAAGGGTCCTTGGTGCTCTCCGAGTTTGGTTGTTTTCTTACAGACATTTCATTATCAAACCAGGTAACCATGTCAGGGCGCTGATGATCCTGGGTAAAGAAACGTCTGCAACAAAACCACCAAGTGCAGAGAGCACCTAGGATCCCTCATCTCAACCTTCAGCTACAAATATTCTCCTCTCCCAGTACAGCCAATAAAGATTGTATGCCCTCAACATGATTGCTGATGGAGAATTGGGATGGGGATGAAGGTGGCAGGGAAAATTAAAATTCCAGCCAAGAAGATGGAATGAGGTAGTTAAATCATTTTTGGAACTAATTTGATGATAGTATTCTCTTGAGAGATGGTCTCCCCTCATGACCTGTATGGCTGCTGACTCAGAGGAAGAGGAGAACTCTGAGATTTAAGAAACAGCATGGTGGAAGCTGATGTGTAGTTTGGCAGGATGGTTGAAGCTCCACACCATAAACCAAGACACACACAAAAAAAAACAACAACAACAACACGCAGGGTCGACAATAACTTCCTGTAATTATGTCATCTGAATAAAAGATTTTAAAAATAGTTGAGCAGACAGCAAATTCTATTTAAGATGCCTGCAAATTACCCTCAAGTGCATGCTTGTGATTTTGGTTAAATTGTCTTGTTTTGCATATTGCTTTTTTCTTCGTTACAAATGCATATATTGTTTCTCCTCTGATGAGACTTATTTTTGTGTGTGTTGTGGATGCTATCAGTGTCCGAGTCATCCATGTGGGAAAGAGCTCACTTCTTTGGACAGTTTGATTGTTGATTCTTGGCTTTGTTGTCTTTTCTTTGCAGATTATTTCGATGAAGATGCTGAGGAAGAGATTGAGAAAGACTGTGATAATGAAGATGCTGGAAATAAAGAGGAAGTAAGTAACGTTGTTTCGTAGCCAGCTGTCATGTGTTTGATAGCCATGCCTTAATTCATTACACTTTTAATAGATGAGAGATGGTAGGAGATATCAGCAGAGATGCTTCGTCCTTTCTGAATGTCTGCCAGATATTCTAAGAGATTCAAAGCCCCAATCAGCCATAAAACTGCTTTTCTAAGCAAGATTCAGATCAGGCCAAAGTCTGACGGAACATTATAATATATAACACTCCAGAAGACAGGCTTAAGATACAGAAGGATCTGGACAGACTTGAACAGTGGGCACTAACTAACAAAATGAAATTCAATGGTGAAAAAAGCAAGGTTCTACATTTAGGCAAGAAAAACCAAATGCACAAGTACAGCATAGGTGGCACCATGCTCAATAGTAGTAACTGTGAGAGGGACCTCGGAGTCCTAGTGGACAATCCCTTAAATATGAGCCGTGTGCTGCAGCTACCAAAAAGGCCAACACAGTACTAGGCTGCATTAACAGAGGGATAGAACTCAAGATCACGTGAAGTATTAATACCACTCTTCAATGCCTTGGTAAGGCCACACTTGGAATACTGCATCCAGTTTTGGTCACCACGATGTAAAAAAGATGTTGAGACTCTAGAAAGAGTACAGAGAAGAGCAACAAAGATGATTAGGGGCCTGGAGGCTAAAACATATAAGGAACGGTTGCTAGAATTGGGTATGTCTAGTTTAACGAAGAGAAGGACAACGGGGGACATGATAGCAGTATTCCAATATCTCAGGGGCTGCCATAAAGAAGAGGGAGTCAAGCTATTTTCCAGAGCGCCTGAAGGCAGGACAAGAAGCAACGGGTGGAAACTAATCAAGGAGAGAAGCAACCTAGAACTAAGGAGAAACTTCCTGACAGTGAGAACAATTAATCAGTGGAACAACCTGTCTCCAGAAGCAGTAAATGCTCCAAACACTGGAAGTTTTTAAGAAGAGACTGGACAGCCACTTGTCCGAAATGGTGTAGGGTTTCCTGCCCGAGCAGGGGGTTGGACTAGATGACCTCCAAGGTCCCTTCCAACTTTACTACTACTATTATTATTAATAATAACTGCTCTATTTACAATAAGCTGGTTTTAAGTCTGACTCTTGTCTGGATAGGAGAAAACCAGGGTCTAAGCATATGTTACTGCAAAATCCATGGTGGAACAAAAGTGGGATATTGTACGCATTCAAATAGTTAAGGTCATCACCTTGCTATTTATGAGAAAAAAACTTATTCTGTTATAGAAACATCTAGCCTTGTTGTTATAAATGATGTTGAACTAGAGGTCCTGATGGTTGACTTTTGGATGTATGCAAAGTTAAATTTCCAACTAGTAGGTATCTGTTTTATGGTTAGCTTCTTATTTTTCATAATTGTGGATAGATATGACCCCCTGTTATTGTCACAAATTACCACGCGTGAGTCAAAATACACGGTGAAATGATTATGTATTTCTTTCTTCCTCCCCTTCTCCCTCAAAAGAGTTTATCTAAGTGCAGTCCAAGAATTGGGGCCTCAAGAAGCATGGCCCATAGTCTAGGAAGTCAGGAACTATCATTCAGAAATATTCTGTGACATTCCTTACCTATTGTACTGGTTATAGTTGTGGTGGCAGTATAGGGAATATAATGGGAGTAGGCTTCAGCCAAGACTATGGGTGAAGACGAATCAAATGAGAGGGTTTCTTCCCTATTTTTCATTCTTATTTTGAAAGGATGATGATCTAGAGAAGGATATTAACAAGCTCATGTCAAAGCCAGAGCTGGACCGACCGGAATCGGAGCTGAATCAGTATATGGTCATGTGTCCTGAACTTCAATATAACTTTCAGGTGAGAACCTTCTGGGGTTTTGACTTTTCAATCCATCCAGAAAGCTGATTTATGCAATGATCCATAATGGTTGGTTGTCTGTTTTTCTCCTAGCTGAAGGAAAAAGAAACGGAGCTGAAAGATGAGCTGAATTCTGTGGACATCGCTGGGACCCTGACCAGTTCCTGCCTCCATGTCATTCCATGTGCTATTTCCCTGAAGTGCCAGCTCAAATGTAGAGAAGGGGACCAAAGTATCGAAGAAGAAGAAGAAAAGCAGATTCAGAGGACTTTAGAGAGGCCAGTACACAGAGAGGGGAAAAAACAGAAACCTCAAGAACCTGGAAAAAGAACTTTTGATGAATCAGAACCTTTGGTGACTTCTTTCAGAAAAGGCATGGTCTCCAGTAAGGGTCATACAGCCCAAGAGGGATTGCAGAACTGGCAGACATCCCAGTTCCAGCATATGAATTCCTGTGGACCTGGCTGCCAGGAGAGAATAGAAGCTTCTGAAATGGTCACAAAACTTTTGGAGAAGCACCCTGGGAATATCCCTTTCCACAAACCTAGCTACTTTATGGCAAGGGCTAATTGCACCCGCTCCATTCCAGACTACAGAGTACTAGCATTCCCAGATCTCTGGGGTCATCAACCCCCTACTTACAGCCAGCCTTTACAGCAAAGGAGATGTGGCATCCAAAAGTAAGTTTCTCTCCCTTTACTTCTAAACCTAGAGTAAAGATATAGAGATGGGAAGATTGCAAGGGGTCAGTGGGGGAAATAGCGAGCACCACTCTCACTAATTATATATTGAGGCAACGTTGGCCAATGGAAGTGTGGTTGGAGCCATGGGGAAAACAGAACACATCTCCCCACAATGCAACAAGGAGTGCCTCAGGAGGCTGTTTGTGATGAGTGGAGCAAATCTAAATTGGGGGATGGATTAAAGTGTTCAGGCATAGGACAGGACTGTCAAGTTAAAACTACTTCATGCTGCAACATACTTCCCCATGTTTTATACCAGGGGTCTTCAAACTTGGCAACTTTAAGACTTGTAGACTTCAACTCTCAGAATTCCTCAGCCAGCCATGCTGGCTGGGGAATTCTGGGCGTTGAAATCCATAAGACTTAAAGTTGCCAAGTTTGGAGACCCCTATTCTACAGGAGCAGAGTGAAAGAAAAAGGTAACAATCCCAACAAGAAGTCTCCTTCTGTGCATGTTCTTCACCCCCACATCAACCTTTTTTTCTTTACCACAGGGCCAAAATATTTGAAGACATCCGCCGTGTGGTCCAACCAGCTGATATAATCAAGCGAGTTGTCTTTAATTTAGACAGCTCTGGGTAAGTAAATTTTTGTTACTGTAGTTGAGGCCATTGTTAGCGAATCATGGACTTTTTGCCATCTTTCCTCCCCTCTGCACATTCATAAAATCTTCCCTGGAGGGTCCTCTTCTGGAGACAGGATGAAGACAAAGCCAAGGTGGTGTAGTGAACTGGAGAAACCCAGGTTCAAGCACTGATTCACATGAAAATCTTGCTGTTAGTTTTGGGAGTAATTTTCTATCAGCCCAAAAGTCCTCATAGGATTGTGGATATAGAGTTAAATCAGGAGTCTTCCAACTTGGCTCTTTTATGACTTGTGGACTTCAGCTCCCAGAATTCCTCAGCCAGGCATCTGGCTGAGGAATTCTGGGAGTTGAAGTCCACAAGTCATAAAAGGGCCAAGTTTGAAGACCCCTGAGTTAAATGCACTGTGATCTCTACATAAACCATCTTGTTCTCCCAGCAAAGAGGAAGGATGTAAATACAATTAGAAAACTATGGGGAACCTAATGATTATGAAATACCTCTGTTTCTGTGAGTCCCAGTGCTTTCTGCTAACTTCTTCAGTGGTTAACAGGGCTAGCTATTTCTCAGTCAGCTTTGCACTAATTGTGTTGCCTTTTGTTTCAGGTCTTTACAGTCAGATCAACAAAACTGCTTAAAATTCTTTTCCAAATTTGAATCTGGGAATCTCCGTAAAGCCATCCAAGTGCGGGAGTAAGTATGACAAATAGGGCCAACAGAGTATCTAAGGTGTTCCAGGCCATCTTGGGAAAGATTAGGCTTAGAGACCATGATGTAAGGCAAACATTATAAACCATAATGTTTAACTTTTTGGAAGTCCATCATATTAGTAAGGGAATATCTTCACAGCATGGTTATTAAGAAAAGTTGTTTTCAATAGACAGAAATTACTGTTACTAGACTACTGAACTGATCATTCTCACTCTCAGGTCAAAGAACTAGTACTGGAGAGAGACAGATGTTTGGCAGCCGCAGGTGTTTGCCTAGTCCTGTGTGGAATGCAAGGGTTGGGGGCCCTACAACTGGGCCAAACCAACAATATATCTTAATAATCAGCTTACATCAACAGACTGCAGAGTCCTGTGGTATATAAGTTCCCAGTGCATGCCAGATGACTAGGTCTCTATGTTTCTACTGTTCTCTGTAGTGCTTGAGCAGAGGGCTGGACTAGAAGACCTTCAAGGTCCCTTCCAGCTTCTATTCTATTCTATTCTATTCTATTCTATTCTATCCTATTCTATTCTATTCTATTCTATTCTACTCTACCCTACCCTACCCTACCCTACCCTACCCTACCCTACCCTACCCTACCCTACCCTACTCTACTCTACTCTACTCTACTCTATTCTATTCTATTCTATTCTATTCTATTCTATTCTATTCTATTCTATTCTATTCTATTCTATTCTATTCTATTCTATTCTATTCTCCTTGGGTAGTTATGTATCATGACTCTAATATGTGGGTTAATATCCCATGGATTCTGCTCTCAAACAAACTTGTTTTGTAGCTCATGGATGTTTCAGACTCTGTTGTTGTGCTTTATGATCCAGGTATGAATATGATTTGATCCTCAACCCTGACATCAACAACTCCCAATACAATCAGTGGTTCTACTTTGAGGTCAGTGCCATGAAGTCTGCCATTCCATACTGCTTCAATGTTATCAACTGTGACAAGCCAAACAGCCAGTTTAATTATGGTAAGAGTTGTCATATTGAGGGAGGGGTTGGCCCACTGTCCATGGTTAGGCCGTTTCTGGGAAAGTCAGGTGAATGAGCCCTTAAAACATGGATTCTCAAGGGCTCTTGTATTTCACCTTTTTTTTACTGGGTACTGAAATAGTTTCCATACTGGTTCGGTAGAATAAATTGTAAACTATCTGTTTTCTTTCTCTGGGCATAAGACAAATGAGGACAGGGAGAGAAAATGGAAGTTAGCCAAAGTGGTGAGAATGTTTGTGTAGTTGGAGTAAATTGGCATTTGTGAATAAGGATGGAAGACACCAATGGGTGGTTTAGAAGGACTTTATTACTTCTAATTGCATGCTGTCATCCAAAATATGTAACGTAAGAGAAGCAAAGGGGAATCAGTTTGGTGTAGTGGTTAAAGGCCTCAGACTAGAAATTGGGAGGCTGTGAGTTGTAGTTCTGCCTTGGGCATGAAGCCAGCTGAGTGATCTTGGGCCAATCACTCACTTTCAGCCCTAGAAAGAAGAAGGCAAGGGCAAACTATTTCTGAAAATATTGCCAAGAAAACTTGAGGGACGTGACAATGGATATAACAGAAGTTAACTATGACTTGAAGGCAAAAGAAGTCAGAAGACTCAAATCCTCACATGTCTCAAATATTGGCAACAGGGGAGGCATAGAAAGGGAAGTTGAGGGTTTTGTCATGTGGAAACTTGGTTTTAACTGCTAGGAATGAAGCTCCTGAAGGACAATGCCCTCAATTGCAGTGGAACTCTGAAATCACATAATACCAGTTTTATTGCAACAGAATTCTTAATACTTACTTTAATAATATAATCTGCATAAATGACAACCGGAGCCTCTTTTCAAACCTATCCAATTTTCATTATGGATTCCTGGATCTTGTAATTTGGGGAGAACAGTGAAAATTCTCTGTGAGAATTATTATTGCCCTTTCTGCCATCAGATCCTGAAGGAAGGAAGCTCCATGTCCAAAATTACAAAATTTTGGAAAGATGGGAGAGACACAGTTGCAGATGTGCGTGCTCTGGGGACATCTGACTTCTGAAAAGCATTTGATTTTTCTCAGCCAAATGTCCTTCTGGATGATTGGAAGGCTTTCCTGCTGAACAGAAGCAGGTCAGAAATGGGAATGGCAGTTTTATAAAATCAAAGCAATTTGGGGCTGGGGCACAGACTCCAATAATGCATCCTTCAATGTATTTCAAGCAGAGAAATGGCAGTGGCTTGGGTTCAAGGAAAGTTGAAAACAGAAATAAAATGAAAGGAGAGCTTGTCGTCTCATATATAACACTGGGGCAATTCCAGCTGTGCAGGTTGAACAACTGATGCACAGAACTAATCAAATTATCGGAAAAGCCATCAAAACGTATGACACAACTGTTGCTTTTCATTTCCTCCAAATGGTAAAACCATTTGGAGGCAACTGGAAACGTTCTTGATGACATCAGAGGAGGTCAGGTCAACCAAGGTCATACACTCTAGGATTGGCACAAAAAGGGTTTGCTTTGAAATTGCAGAACACTTCAGATTGTCAACAGTGGAGGTGCATCAGATAGTCCTTGTGGCATAAAAATATTTGTTCTGTCTTCATCCCTAAACATGCCATAAGTAAAACGGCTATTCCCATTCCACTGCAGTGGAAATCATATCATATCTCTCTTCCTCCCCTCCTAAACTCTTTTTTTTGTGTGTGTGTAGGTATGCAACCAGTCATGTATTCAGTGAAGGAGGCTCTTCTGGGCAGACCTCACTGGATTCGGGTGGGCTATGATATCAGTTATTACAAGTAAGTGTCTACTATTCTTTTACGTGACATTTGAGCTTCCTGATCATTATACTTGTTCCACGTACTTCTGTCTATTAATGCTACTTACTTCATTGTGTGCATACTGTACATCTTTTAGGGCTTTCCAAAAACAATAGCAGATGTGTTGAGACTAACAACTCAACCCTCTCAGCTAGCATAGTCACTCTGGAGGTTCTGGTCTCCAAACATTGGAAGGACCTCAGGTTCAGGAAAGTAGTCTTGCAATTTCCTAGCACTTCCCCCGACTAAAAGTCCCCAAACGTACTTTGCAAACACGCAACAAGGGATTGTAGGATTGTCTCAAAAGTGTTTTTTTTTCCCCCAAGCAACTTTTTCAAGAACTGAAGAAGCTGCTTGGATGAGACAGTGAAACGTCTTCAAGGAAAAACAAAGGAAGTCCAGTTGCCTCTTGAGAAAGCACAATCATGACCTGGATGGCTGCATTTCTCCCTAGAGAGATTGTAGGATGGGTGTGTTTGTGTGAGTGCTGAAGGATGAAGAACGGGAGTGCACATAGCTCATGCCTGCAATGCATACTAACAATAGGAAAGGATTTTCCTCGTAATATTGTACGCATTCTTTTCCTGCTTGGCAATCGTTACTCTCCAGTGGGTTTTCTCTTCTCTTCACACGTCTTACACTTTTGATCCCTTCAAGGATACAGACGTTGTTTGAAACAATGGGAAAATTTCTCATTGATTGTTTCCAGTCTTTAGTGGGGTGAATATTTCTACCACGGATCCAATTTCAGAATTTTGTAAGGTCACCCCACGTCAATGAAGACTTTCTAAGCATCTCTCCATAAGCCCAGATCTTTCCACAGCCACCAAACTGTGACTCGTGCAGAGGAACAAAGAGCAAACTCCTCTGAAGAGTGAGCTCATTCTTGTTTTTTTTTTTTTTTCAGCCTTTGAATGGATAAGAGACATTTCTTCCACTTCAGCTTTCTCGAGATTAAAACTAAAATTCATTGAATGAAAGTATTTGGCGAAATAGGGTAATGATCTGAGATACATAGAACATAGAATAGCAGGGTGGGAGGAAACCCTTGGAGGTCTTCTAGTTCAACCCCCTGCCCTCTTTAGCCCTGTCATGATCATTTATGTGGCTGCCCAACTCACAATGATTCTGAACTGCTTACAGAATTAAAACCCCTAAGTATAAAACCCGATAAACTCTCACCTCCCTGTCAGCAACAATCAAACCATCCACTTGATGGACCCTGTATCACCCTGAGGTCCCCAGGCAAAACCATGTCTTCAGGGCTTTTCCAAAGTGTATCAAGGTGTGGGCCATTCTTAGCTCCATGGGGATGGTGTTCCATTGAGAGGGAATCACCATGGAGAAGACCCTTCTTCTTGGTCCAACGAGATAGACCTCTTTAAGAGAAAGGATCCATAACCTATTCTCTCTTCCCTCTCTAGTAGTCAGGTAGATGTAACTGGGAAAAGACAATCCTTCAAATAATGTGGTCCTTCAAGGTATCTGTGATTCTTTTGCTTCCAGTTTCTCTTAGCATGAAAGAGCTGTTTCTACCATAGCAGGTCTGTAAACAGATGCAAGCACATAGAGTTTGATTACTGCCACAATAACATTAAGAAGGCTGTTACTATGCCGTGGTTAAATCACCGCTGACTGGTGCAATTAAATTATGAAAGTACAATTAAGTTCTTAATTGTAACCTGGTTGCAGATGATGGAATGGGGTTCTCCCCATTTCATTTTTCCTGGATGGGAAACAGAGTGAATTTAATTCCATAGTGCTCTGAACAGTTACAAATCTGTCATTGAATTATATCCCTGAATTTTAATTGTTCCAAAATCTACCGGGCACCTCAAATCTATTGCTCTTCTTATACCATAATATTTCTTGAGTTCTGAATTTCTTGTATTCTGAAGGTTATAGCAAGTATTATAGGGCCCAAATGTTGCCACCTATACTCCTCCCCCGTCCAAAACAACAACAACAACAACAAACCAGATTTGCTGAACATTTGCAAAATCTCTCACTTTACTCATGTCCATGAAATTCTTGGTGGGAGGGAGAAACGTGGGGAGAAGTCTTAACAATAGTAAGTGTGCATTCTCCAGTTCATTCTTAAATCCACCATTTTAACTAAAGTTGCTTCAGTATCTTCACATTGTAGACATCCCCAGTTGTTGAAGTTTTTCTTGAGGGGAAGCATGTCTTCTAGTCCATGCTAAGAGTTAATTTTTGTGCATCCTACATCGAAGAAAGGAGATGGCGTCAGCTATTTGGTAGGTAGGCCAGTCATTTGCTGTAGGCTAGAAACCAGGAGACTGTGAATTCTAGTTCCACCTTAGACACAAAGTCAGCTGGATGTCCTTGGGCCAGTCCTTCTCTTTCAGCCCTAGGAAGAAGGCAATGCAAATCTCTTTTGAAACCTTGCTAAGAAAATTGGAGGACTTGTCCAGTCAGTTGCCACGGGTCAAGACTTAACTCAAAATCTCCTTCTCCTTGCAAATGTTGAGAAACAGCCACCACGGACTCTCTTATTTGCAGAGTCTAATTGCAGAATCTTGAAAGCCTATCCAAAATATTCACTACCCTCATTGTGGATTCAGTCCTCGATGTTCTGAAACACCTTCCTAGGTATTTTGCTTCCCCTAGGCTGTGTAATCATTTTATCTCCCTCCCTCCTCTTCTTCAGGTCTGCAGGGTAAATCCCTGTAGAGAGTAGGTGAATATTGAAGGAAAATAAGTTCCAAGTTTCATTCCTGAAGAGGCTTCTGGATATTAATTAGGAAAAAAAAACGGATGTAGGTCGGGAGAGGACAACCTTCAGCCTTGGGATCCATGACCTTTGATCTCATTTTATGCAGATATTGACCTGATATCAGAATCTCACTGCAAGTCTCCTGCTAGGAACAATCTGCAATAGTTGGTAAATGGAGAGGGAGAGAAGAACAACGTCAGAAAGAGAAAATGAGAAAGAGATGCTATTAATATTATGTCTGAACCCAGGTGATACCTCTCCATCATACCTCCCTTTCTCTTGTTGTAACATGCAGGTATTAATTCTGATCTAATCATAATACACTTTTCTATGAAGATTGCTGAGGTAATGTAAAACACTTCGAACAGCTTGGTGTAACACATAATTAGAATACTTTACGATGCACAGCTGAAGTTGAAGATGGTATCTGAAATCTGTGCAGGTGGCACTTTTTGCAAAACATTACTACAAACAGAACGTTACTGGGCTCGTGGAACAGAGTCATTATAATCTGAATTATAATTCAATTAAATTTTGTTATTTTGGGAGAAATCCTAGGGAGAGGAACGGAAGGATTTATATAGTAAATGTCTTTGGGAATAAGATGAGTGGCCTTCGAACTTAACACTGATACAAAGTTGTCAAATGGTTGTGATTTCATAATGTTCTCTCTAATCTTTGGGCACTGCCCAGAGTCACTCTATGATGGAGATGGGCAGTTTCTAAATATGATGTAGATCAGGGGTCCCCAACCCCCAGTCCGTGCACCAGTACCAGGCCACGGCATGCCAGCAACTGGTTCGCATAAACAAGCAAAGGCCCATCTGTGAGATGCAGGCAGCACACAAAACCACGCACTCTCCGGTCCGCAGAAAAACCTCTCTCCACGGAATCGGTCCCTGGTGCCCAAAAGGTTGGGGACCTCTGATGTCGATGAATAAATAATTGTTCATTTACCATAGTTCAAATGGCAAAATCTATCCAACCTTGGTTGATTTTGGATAAATAAATTGGAGTTTATGGTTAGAATTTGGATGGGAAACTTCCAGGGGATATCAAAGCTGTAGGCTACAGTAAAAATTTAGAAAAAGAATTAAGGACAAACCATTTCCCTATTGCCACAACACAACTGCAAGAAAAGATTGATGAAGTCCTTATCACTTGATTTCAACTCAAAGAAATCTTTATTTTGTACAATCACCGCTCAATACCTTGATTGATGGTATTCCTGCCCCACTGAGTAGATCAGTAGATCAGATTGGCAGAGAACTATAAACATGGAAACCAGAAGCTTGGCATGGAGTACAAAATAGAAATAGAATAATGGAACAGAATAATAGAAAAGTAGCCCTGGGATTGGAGGACAAAAATAACTGATCTCATTGGGGAGCTTAATAAAAGAATTCAATTCAGATTAGAAGAAGCATCTGTGACTTCCTCCCCCACACCTGATAGGGACAAATAATATCCTACCCTATTCTCATATTATTTCTTCTAAAATCATGAGCTTTTAGCTGATTAACCACCTTTAACTTGCAGCAATAGCTTGAGACCTATCTGATCAGAAGTGAATGTCTAATGTCATAACCTGAAGCATACTCACACAACGCTTTATCAGTCCAGACAGTTTATACAGTTATGTATTCTAAAGAAATGCTTGCATATGTTGCATAATATGTGGGTCCTCTAGCTGGGGGGTTGGTTGCATAATTTGTTATTCCTGCAGTCAACTATGTAAAACATTTTCAAGTGAGGCCCCGTAAGTAAGCAAATAAGAAAGCAAGTTTGCCATAAGCAAAAATTTCTCTTGAAGCATACAAAGATAAAAATAATTCATTGTGTTCAGGATACTCTTTCTTTGGCACTGCTGTATAGTTTTGAATCAAGCGTGCTTTGGACTGTAAGGAGGCCTGGGAGAACATATACTTCCTAGCATTGGGGGACATGTACTTTGCATGCTAAGGGTTCTAGGTATGGGGTCCAGCTGTGACAGACTCCTGCTGAAACTGTTGACAGTTATTATCAATCAATATAGATCCTAGAGATGTAGGTGGACAAATTTCCCATGATTTTGGGTGGTAATTGATTTTAGCATAAGCTAACTCTGTTAGCCCTTTGCAATTCAAGAGATTGCATGATCTGATCCCACATAATGCAGAAATTTGGGTTCAAAAAAATAAGTCAGCGTAAAGCTGAAACTTATGCTGAACAACAACCAGCTTTGAAGAAGGTTATTCCTGTT